GGGAGCAGATGTGGCGGAGGCGAAGGAATTGGGAATAGGGGATGGCATTTTTGCAGGAAGGTGGGTGGGAGGAGGAGTATTCTAGGTAGCTGTGGGAGTCGGAGGGCTTGAAATGGATATTGGTTTCCAGGTGGTTGCCAGAGATGGAAATAGAGATGTCAAGGAAGGAGAGAGAGGTATCGGAGATGGTCCAGGTGAACGTTAGGTTGGGGTGGTAGGTGTTGGTGAAGTGGATGAACTGTTCGAGCTTCTCATGGGAGCACGAGGTGGCGCCGATGCAGTCATCAATGTAACGGCGGAAGAGGAGGGGGATAGGGCGAGTGTAGCTACGGAAGAGGGATTGTTCCATGTAACCTACAAAGAGGCAGGCATAGCTTGGGCCCATGCGGTTACCCATGGCCACCCTCTTTGTCTGTAGGAAGTGGGAGGAATTGAAAGAGAAGTTGTTGAGGGCGAGGACGAGTTCAGCTAAGCGGATGAGGGTGTCAGTGGAGGGGGACTGGTCGGGCCTGAGGGACAGGAAGAAGCGGAGGGCCTTTAGGCCATCTGCATGGGGAATGCAGCTGTATCGGGACTGGGCGTCCATGGTAAAGATGAGGTGTTGGGGACCGGGGAATAACCTATCTATATCAGGTTTTAAACAGCAAGTTATATCAACAAGCCTCCTTAATAAACATGAGTATTGATTCAGTATATGGTAAAGCTGTAATAATTGTTAAGTGTACACAGTCAGTGTGTAAGAATTACAAATGGTTATTTATCGAGATATTCATGCATATGTGTGCATGCATACATATATACTCACACTATTCATGAAAAGAGGAAAAAAAACAAATGTTTTTGCAGAGGTTGGCTTCCTGAACAATAATGTACTTTGGTCAATGGGTTATCCTTGAAGGCAGTAGAATAAAGTGCTGGAGGCTGATGTTCTGGGACATATGGTGAAGTCGTTAATCGTTCATAGCCTTTGAAGTCTTGCAGACACAGCTTTCTCACAAAGTACAATCCTGAGATATTCTTTCAATCATTCTTTCACTCTGAACTGATACACGTGTCTGTATTCAACTCTATCTGCCGTTTTCTCTGTCCAAATTTCCAACTGATCTCTTTCCAGCTGTATCCTTTGACTTCCTTCCTTACTATCCACAACTCCACCAATTTTCACATCATCTGCCATTGATAGAATCATTCTGTAGTTTGTTGTAAGAGCTGTGCTGGCCTGATCAATCTCTAACAGTGTTGCACAGAATTAATATCAAATTTGCTTCTGAAGTCATTCTATCCAGACCAGAGGTACACCAATTACGAAAACCCATGTGAAGGTCAATGATTTTTCTAATCTTATATTCCTGAAGGTGCGAACATATGTTCTGAACATGCAAAATGACTAATCTCCACAAGCCAGACAAAAAAAGTTCAAGACATTTTTACATTTTTGAGGTAGATTTTCACCTTGGATGGAATTGGCTTTTGCAAAGATGTTTCATTTTTCAAATTTCTACTCATTTGTGTGTCACTGAGTGCAAAATTCTACCACGAACCAGGCAGCACCTTAGAAAAATAAATTACTTTAAAAATTGTTCCATGATATGTATAAGACTGGGTGTTTTGGTAAAGTTCAATTGAGCAATTGAAATGAGGTTTATCACAACAAGTAAGCTTTTTTAATCAGTGCCAATCCTGATTCTAAATCATTGGAAGTCACAATTAAAGAAAATGTATTGGTTTCAACACAAATTGTTTCCTCATTGGCTTGAAGTACGTACTGAGTTCAGAAAAAACTTTTGCGTATTCTTGCTCTTGACATCACAATGTCCAGCTGAATTTGTAATATCTCCTTGCTGGCATGAAAAGATGCACAATCCCAGAAGCTACGACTAATTTTGGAGTCTCTGCTTTGAAGGCTTTGATGTTATCGTGACAGTTTGCAGAAATGCATGCTTTCCTGAACTCAACTTACACCTAAAATTCCATGATCTTCTGCACCATATGCCAATATGATGGGAATTACCGGGGTAATAGAAAGAAAATGTCAGACTGTTTTTTTGTTTTATTGGTTACATAGAGCTGATTGGTGAGTATTAATTTAGTTTGTTATTATTTTGGAGACTATATGACACACAAGCGAGGAGCATCTAGTCAGTTTGTACTAAGCTTCAGTCACACCTGCTAACTTGCAGGTTCAGAATTGTGTGTCTGACAGTGCACACTGAGTAAGGGAACCCAGGTATGAAATAGAACAAGAAGCAATGGCAGCCTGGACGCAATGTGGTTATAAGAAAGAAGAAGTGGTTGCATATAGTGAGAGTTGCCGGTAGGTCAGTACTCAGACTGCTGCCTTTCTTAATCTATGTTAATGATTTAAACTTAGATGTCCTCGGCACAAGTTTCAAATTTGCAAAACTTGGAAATATAGTGAACAGCGTGAAAGGGAGTGGTAGACTGCAAGAGGACATTTTCAGGCTGGTGAAATAAGTGGATAAATGATGGATGTGATTTAATTCAAAGGAACTGTGAAGTGATAAATTTTGTTAGCAAAAATATGGGGAGGCAAGCTAAAAGGTACAATTCTAAAGGATGTGCAAGAATAGAGATACTTGGGATTAATCATTCAAGATTAATCATTCAAGGTAAATTAATAATAATAATAAAAAATTAATAATAAATTATTATTAAAAGTAATAAACAGGCAGATTGAGAAAGCCAGTAGTGAAGCATTTAGAATTGTGGGGCTTATAAATAAGGCTATGGGGTTCACAGGCAAGGAAGTTCTGATAAGCTTACATCCAAATTCTGGGCACCTCCCATTTGAAAAGAAGCAAAGATTTCAGAGATAGTGCAGAATAGATTTACAGGAATGGTTCCTGGAGGTATCTGGGTACTGTTAGAAAGTTCAAAAGAAGGCTTTGGAGAGATATCAGCCAAGTGCAGGCAGGTGGGACTAGTTTAGTTTGGGATTATGGTCAGCATGGACTGGTTGGACCAAAGGGTCTGCTTCTGTACTGTATGACTGTATGGCTTTAGGTCTTCAGTTATGTAGACTGATTGGACAGACTGGACAGACCAGTTAAATTGCTGGCACAGACTCATTACACTGAGCAGTCTTATTTTTTGCTGTATCCTGTCTGTGATTCTATGATCCATATATTCTGATCTTGGTCATGAGTATCCCTTACAGTGATTTATCAAAGGCCTTTTGAAAGTCCAAATTTATATTGCAAGATCTTGTCTACTCTTTGTGTTCCTCCTTCAAAGAATTCAAGAAGGTCAGCCAAGTATGAACTTTAATTTTGAAATCCCTGATGTCTTTCATTTCAGTTGTAATATATTTTTGAAGTATACCTTTGGGTGAAGTTTTCATTATATTTCCTATCACTAACACGAAGCCAACTGGTTTCTAGTTCCTTGTATTTATTCTATCTCCGCTTTTCAATATAAATAATGTATCAATTGCCTGTCACTCCTCTAATCCTCCTTTCAATTTTTTTTGACTGCATATTAGTGTCTCTGCTCACCGCCCTCAAATTTACTTTAATATATACGAATTTAATTTCTCTAAATCAAGGTTTTTATCCTTTTTATGTTTGACTAGTTTATCACATATTTTCTTGCTTTCAATAGTAAATGTCTTGATATCTTTTTTGTTCTCTTCTAATGTCCAGTAAGTTTGGCAGCAAAGTAACTGCTCACTATTTCTGCAGTTTTGTGTCATTGACTGTGATTATGTTTTGTGTATTATGACCTTAACTCTCTCTTGTTTTTTTTCTTTCGTTAGTAATGTAGGATAATATACTGATAATTTTTATAACTCTTTGCTTTCCTGCCTGTCATTTTGGTTTTGCTCCTAACGTTTGACCTGGAGTATGTCTTTTCTTAATTTTACCCTCCTCTATTTATCAGACCATGGTTTTTTTTAAGATAATTGGATTATATTTTAAGTAGAATGTAATTTTTTAGAACTATTTTAATTACCATTTTCACTGTTGTCTACCGAAATGCAAACCTTTGTTTGCAGCTTGACTATCAATCCTTCAAAGTTTGCATCAACTGAGTAAATTGGAATTTTCAAGAATACTGTATATTTTTGTTGGGTAAGGGTATCATGAAATTGAAAGCAAAGGAGGGCAAATAGAATTGAATCTAATTGAATTGATAGGATTGGTTTAAGAGTCTGAATTTTCTACTTCTCTTCAAGCGTTCTGAATGTAGCACTAAATAGTTATGAGGTTAAATCACTTGGCAGATTACACAATAAATTGGCATAAATCATCAGAGCCAAGATTTTTTTTAATCACCTCATTGATATTGTCAGAATCAATTTATTTTTTTTCCTTTGTTGAATGTTATTCCCCGAATCAGTTAAATGCTTTTCTAAATGTGAGTACAGTTTTATAAGAGAAAGATTATGGCATGCTGTGCTTATTTGAATAGCTCAGGAATTTAAGATCCATACCTGGGGGGAATAGCACAGTAATAAAACAAACATGCCTCCATAGAAAACAATAAGAAAGGACTGTTGTCATTAAATATAACTCCAATGTCAAGTAGTGGAATGCATGGCAGCTAGTGAAGTTGTTTTGTGCGTTCATATTTTCTGTGGATTTGACAAAGATCCAACAATATGGTGGAAACTCTGGACAACCATTCCTCTTTTAACCATAAGACCATGAGATATAGGAGTAGAAGTAGGCCATTCAGCCCATTGAGACTCCTCTGCCATTCAATGAGATCTGATAGCCTTCAACTCCATCTGAGCCCTGCTGGTTTGACAGGCCTGTGACTATCTCATTTCTACAATTGCTCTCACATTGTCTATTTACATAAGGTGATTTCAAGTGGTTTGCAGTTTCATCCAACGAAATTCTAGACATGATTGAGTCTTTTGCTGGGTGTTGGGAAAGGTCTTTTTAAACGTAATGGAAAGTTCATAGAGCCCCTATACAGTGTGGAATCAGGCCCTCTGGCCCAACAAGTCCACACTGACCCTCAGAGCATCCCACCCAGACCCATTCTCCTATAACCCACCTAATCTACACATCCCTGAACACTATGGGCAATTTAGCATAGCCAATCCACCTAGCCTGCACATCTTTGGACTGTGGGAGGAAACCGGAGCACCCGGAGGAAATCCACGCAGACAGTCGCCCAAGGCTGGAATCGAACCCGGGTCCCTCGTGCTGTGAGGCAGCAGTGCTAACCACTGAGCCACCGTGCGCCCCTTTCCTGTAAATCCTGTAAATTCATGAGATTCAAGTTTCTTCTCCTGAAAAACCTTTGTCCTTGTTAGAAATATTCTCCTGTCACTTTGTTCTGCTGATATCGTCCTTTCACCACACATCATGCCCTGTGAAATTAGACAGAACCAAAGACTTTCAGATAAAATCTCTGACCTGAAACTTCCCATGTATTGGGACATACAACAAACTCTATGATAAATTTGTGCTTAAGCTACTGATTTGTCAGTCAGTCATCTTGATGTAGTGGATTCTTACTTCCCTGTTGTGAAAAGGCAAATTTTGCGACGGAGAATTGAAGACGTCTGAATAAACTGTTGTTTGTTGCAAACAGATATTAGAAAATCAAGTGGACGTGCGACAGAAAGAGGTGGAGGAGCTCCTTTCTCAGACCAAAATTCTCTCCCAAGAGGGACCGGTGGAGACAGATGGGAAAGAACAAGATATTGAAAGAAGATTCTTAAAGCTGATGGGTCCTCTACAGGAACGGCGCCAAAAACTCCTCCTGTCGAAGATGACCTACCAGTTTTACCGGGATCTGGAGGATGAGATTGTAAGATCAATGTGTCTATTTTTCACAGCATGCAAATTAAAATAATAAACTGTGTCGAGATATCAGTGGCCTTGTTTTGTGAGAATTGATACATTTTTCCTGCTCTTGTTTAGCTTTGGGTGCAAGAACGAATGCCCTTAGCTACAAGTACAGACCATGGCCATAACCTCCAGACTGTACACCTCTTAATGAAGAAGAATAAGGTAAGTGGTATTTGGTTTCCTCACTGCTTGAAGAATAATAGAGGTCATTGTTGCACAATATAAACAAAACTCCAGAAGTTGTTCTGATTAAACCCCTCTATTATTACTGCATAAGACTTTCTTCTGGTTTCACAGACTTTTCAGAAGGAGATACAGGGACATCAGCCACGTATTGATGATGTGTTGGAAAGAGGAGCGACCATGGTTGTGGAACAAAGGCCTGACTCAGTTACTATCGAGGAACAGTTGAAAGAGTTAAAGGAATTATGGAACAACCTGCAGAAAGAAACAGACAACAGACAAAAACGTCTGGAAGGTGCAAATGAAGCCCAGCAATATTACCTGGATGCTGCAGAGGCTGAAGTTTGGATGAGTGAGCAAGAGCTGTACATGATTGCTGATGAGAAAGCCAAGGTGGTACTAAATTTTATGTGTATCATGTGATTTTATTTGCCATATCGAATATCCTGGATGTGTATGTTAGAAAGTTAATGAGATAATTTAATTTCTTCGTATTGTTGGAGAATGACTTCCAGCATAAACGAGATGCCTTGAAATATCATTAGAAGAAAACATTAGCTCGTTTTCTGCTTTTAGTGACTATCCTGTATATGAGAAAATCTTGTGCAAGGTAATGGGTGGCTGTGGTGATTTATATGGTTAAGGTTTGTAGGAGGATTTATTAACTATAATCTTGAGATACCTAGATTAACAAAGCCTATAGTTCAAAGGATTTAGGGACTTGTTTCAGGGAAGCAGCTTTGAAGTAAGCAACTACAACTTTTCACATGGATTAATGCTTTCAAGGGAGTCGAGGGTAGATATTCTGTGACTTTTATCCTTGATGTATGCAAAGTATGATGCATAAAGGAACATGGCTTACAATTCTTAAAGATGTTCTTCAGAAGCTTTGAAAGATCGAACAAGATACTGAAAGTCAGTCTCCCTTAAATTTTTGTATGTAGAAGTAGGCTGTCCATCGGCACAGAATTGCTGACAGAGACCCAATCCAGACGTCCTGTGTCCAAACCCAGTTCCCCTATTTTAATGCTGGGGCAGGGGGTTTGGGGGTTGGGGGTGTGTGGCTAAGATGTGTTGCCTAAATTGTACATACTTTGTTCCCAAAGGCAGATGCCCAATGAATCAACCATTGTGTCCGCTGATGTGATCCCAGTGAGGTTGATGTTTCAAACCTTAAGTATGCACATTAAATCAGCTCATACCGTTTCTAAATTTTGTGAATTCCTTTAGATAGCCAGGGTACTTTGTTGGAGAGAAGAGGGATTCCTTTGAGTATGATTTTGGCTGACATTTGGCAGAAATCATTTGCACTTTGGGGTTATTTAAAGCAAATATGATGTGCATAAGAAGTGTATAAACTTTTTTCGAACTTCCAAAGTAATAATAAACTTCCAAATAATAATAACACTATCAAAATGTCAAAGAACAGTCAAATACACCATATCTGAATGTGTGGACTACTGTAAATAAGTTTGAGGAGTCACAAATACATATTGCTATGTGTCAACATGATGCTGTGGCAAGGAGGGAGACCTGGCTTAAAGAAGGGCAGAGCTGGGTGTTAAATTTTCCTGGATACAAGGTGTTCAGAAAAGGAAGGAAAGCATTACAGTGCTGAGAAAGAAGGTTCAAGGAAAAAATTAATTTGGCTCATAAAACGGGTGCAATATCATTGCTCAGTTTAGTCTGTAGGCTACCAACAAGTGGAAACTATAGGGTAATAAATCTCAAGGTAAACATAGAAACGTAGAAAATAGAAATGAGGATAAACCATTTGGACCCTTTGAGCCTGCACCATGATTCAATATGATCACAGCCAATCATTCAACTGAGTACTCTGTTCCCCTTTCACTCTATACCTTTGTTCCCTTTAGTCCTCAGAACTATATCTAACTCCTTCTTGAAAACATTCAGTGTTTTGGCCTCAACTGTTTTCTGTGGCAGAGAGCTCACGTTGTCTGGGCAAAAAAAATTCTTGTCATCTCAGTCCTAAATGGCCTACCCCATAGCCTTAAACTGTGACCCCTGGTTCTGGACTCCCTGGTCATCAGGAACATCCTTCCTGTGTTTACCCTGTCTAGTATCATTCAAATTTAATAGGTTTCTATGATATCCTCCGTCATATTTCTAAACTCTAGAGAGTAGTCCTAACTGATCCAATCTCCCTTCACACGTCAGTTCTGCCATTCCAGGAATCAGTCTGGTGAACCTTTTTTTGCACTCCCTCCATAGCCAAAATACCCTTCCTCAGAGAAGGAGACCAAAATTACACATAATACTCAAGATTTTGTCACACAAGGCCCTGTACAATTGCAGCAAGCCATTCTTGCTCGTGTACTCAAATCCTCTCACTGTGAAGGCCAAGGTACCATTTGGCTTCTTCAATGCTTGCTGCACCACCATGCTTGCTTTCAGCGACTGGTTTACAAGGACCCCCAGGTATTGTTGCATCTCCCCCTTTTCCAATCTTTTCCCATTCCAATAATAATCTGCGAGCCTGTTTTGCCAGCAAAGTAGATAACCTCAAATTTATCCACGTTATACTTCATCTGCCGTGCAAACTCATGCATTTGCCCACTCTGAGAACTGCACACACGGATCACTGCAGGTAACAGATCAGGTTGAGAGAGCAGTTAATAAAGGGTACAACACCCTGGGCTTTATTCATAGGAACACAGAGTACAAAAGCAAGGAAGTGATGCTGAACTTGTATGCGGTACTTGTTAGATCTCCACTGGAGTATGTGTACCTTTCTGGGTGCCACATAATAGGAAGGATGTGAATGTATTTGGAAAGGTGCAGAAGCAGTTTCCAAGCATTGCAGGACTGAGACATTTCAGTTGAGGATAGATTGAAGAAGTTGGGACTGGTTTCCTTGCAGAGAAGAAGACAAAGAGGAGATTTGATGGATGTTCTCAAAATCATAAGCGAACTAGATGGAGTAGATTTGGGAGAACTGTTCCCAATCATGAAAGGATCAAGCACCAGAGCGCGTAGATTTAAAGTGATTTGTGGAAGAAGAAAATGCAAAATGAAAGAGAAAAAAATTTCACACCGTTAGGGTATGGAATGCTCTACCTTCAAGTGTGGTAGAACAAGATTCAATTGGGGGGCAGTAAAGAGGGCCTTGGATGATAATTTGGATAGAAATAGTGTGCAACAGTTTTGGAGATTGGCAGTAGATAATGACGCTCAGTTAAAGAGCTGGTGCAGACACAATGGACCAAATGGCCCCCTTTGCTCCAAAGCCCTTATGCCAATCTATAAACTTGCAAAGCTTACTGGATCAGTCAAGGTATTTGGCTTTAAACATTAAAACAATTTTTTTTAAAAGACCAACAGTTGCTATTCTACCCTGTCTGTTGAAATAAACTTAATAATTATCATTATAGGATTTGAGTGCTTGAATGATTTACAACTGAACTTTATCACAGTGGAGAGTGTGTTAAGTGATTGTTTTGACTAACAGTTGAAAATGATCAGAGAATAGGAACGTTTGTTTTCATAAGAGATTAGTTGATGGAATTCCAATACATTGAATGTTTTCTTTTCTACCAATGTGATTTTTTTTCCCGAAAAATAGTGACATTATCAATAAATACTCATTTATTTCATGTCGGCATGACTTGTCAGTCTGCCCATGATATGTTGGGATAAGTGCAAATGGTGGAAGTTGTGGGGTACAGTTTGGCACGAGGTGAAACTAAGTTTGTATCAGGACTACAAAAGTCCATGGAGATGGATGGAATGGCTATGGTACAGGAGATACAAGGAACCATGGAGGTTGGGTAAAGGCACGTAGGGTGCTATAATAAATGTTTGTTGCACTCAGTACTGTGTAACTCGTATCTCCTCTTTATGTTCCGGGAGCTGACATAAGTTGATGGCAGCAAATAATCGTTAAATCTCATTACATCACAACATGTGGCATATCATGTCAGTTGGTCCAGGCTGCTTCTGCAATGCTCAACCATAAGCGAAACTAGATCTTCAGGGTCCAGACCCGAAAGGTCAGCTTTCCTTCTCCTCTGATGCTGCTTGGCCTGCTGTGTTCATCCAGCTCTGTTATCTCAGATTCTCCGGCATCGGCAGTTCCCACTATCTCCAGATCCCAGAATGATACCTGGTTTGGTAGAGTATATATTTAGAGAGTGTGTGTGTGTGTGTGTGTGTGTGTATTTATTTATATGAGTATGTTGTTGTTGTTGGCAGAGTATATGCTACTTTTAGAGGTAAAACAAACAAAGGTATCCAAATATAGAACACAGTTTGAAAAATCTTAAAACGCACAGCAAAGCAATATTCCCATTGATTCCCCAATACCATCACCTTACAGTTTCACACCTAGAGAAAGTACACTGCTGTCTCCATTGATTCTTTCCAGTTCTTTGCTGTGAACTGTGAAGTCTTCTAAAATGAACACTCAGAAATTTGGAGGCTTATACTTTCTCGGGCTATAATAGTCTACAGGTTTCTAACCAATTACTCCTGCTCTTGAAATTACTCGAACTAGCTTTCTACTAAGGTAACTTATTCCCTGAAATGTTTTATACTATTTCTCAAAAAAATTTCAATCTCAGGATTTCCTCAACTAAAATTGATCTTAAACTAAAAATAAGCTGATGTGCCTCAAGGTTTACACTTCCAGCCATGAAGTTAGAAACAACTACATGAAGCTGAAATAGTAGAAGAAAGGAGAAGCTCCTGTTTCCCACCACCCTCTCAGCCTCTTCACCAAATTCCCACCGTATCCTCTGTAAAACCAAAGCGCGTAGACTGGGAGCACTGAAGGAAGCCTGTATTTCTGCTTCCTGACAATATCTGACTTAAGCTTTGAAAAAACAGTTTACACCAGCCATCGATTAACTAGTGACAGCCCCTCTCAGAGCTTGTATACTCCCAATTTAAGGCTGCAATACAACTGAACCTCTTAATTGCGAAATAGTTAATTGCTAAATTTAAAAAAAATCTAGACTTGAGATGAAAATTACTCTCAAGACTCTCACCAGCTCTCAGTGCAGGGGAACCTTTTGCTTTGGCATGGAAGTAGTGAAACCCATCAAGAGAAAATTCTCCCACTACCTCCATGTTCAATACATCACAGTGGCACACAGTGTATTAGTTGTAGCAGTAAGACAGGTTTAAGGCATACAGCCACTGGCTCCATTAGTAGGCTGCTTTAGTCTTACTGAAAAGGGCAGGTGCATAACTTGCTTGGCAATGCACTTTTTAAAAACAAAAATCTATGGATGTCAGCAAAGAACAGGCAGGAATTCACGAACTAATAAAGCACATGCAAACATCTGAGTACCAAGTTAAGCTTTAATGAGAAATGTGTAAGACGTTCTAATATAAACAGAAAGCAGCTAACAAAATTTAATTTGGATGACCTTTAACACTTGCTCTATTTCCTCACCATTGACTGCACAGTAGATCTTCCTAATTTCCAGAAAAATGTATTTCGTAATTTATAGCTTAAATGGGCTTTGTTGTTCTCAAAATTAGTATTAATATGATTTTGTTGTAATCTACAGAGTAGATTACAGTCCGATAAATTGTGTCCATGTTAATAAATCCTAACATTTGAGCAGATAACTGAAATATCCTATTTTTAAAAAAATTTTCTCTGACTGTTTACTTGCATGTTTGCATTTACTTCAAACAGCGAAGTAGGAAGTTGTCACAGATTTCTCCGTTAATTTTGTCCTTTAGAATGACTGACAAATGCAAATCGACAAAGCTGGGCCTCCAATGGAGCACTGCATTTTCATGAGCTTTTCAGTCTAGTAGGCCAGCTAGGAAGGAGTGATGTGAGTCTTTTTTGAAATCCTGTTGGAGTGACCAGACTGAGCTGTTTCTGTATTGACATCTCGTGCATTCAGTATCTGTGTTTTATTAGGCCCAACTATAAATTGCTTTTAGGAAAGAATGTCTTGCACTAACTACCAAGTCAGAGGAGCATGAAGAGGTTTTGAGTGATATCTAATGGTTTGAATGTATTTGTGTGTGGCACGGTGACTCAGTGGTTAGCACTGCTGCCTCACAGAGTCAGGGACCCAGGTTCAATTCCAGCCTCAGGCGACTGTCTATGTGGAGTTTGTACATTCTCCCTGTGTATGAATGGGTTTCCTCCCATGTGACATGTAGGATAAGTGGATTGGTCATGCTAAATTGTCTGTAGTGTCCAGGAATGTGCAGGCTATGTGGGTTAGTCATGAGAAATGCAGGGTTACAGAGGTAAGGATTGGGATTAGGTCGGTGTGGGATGCTCTTCAGAGGGTCACTGTGGACTTGATGGGCTGAATAGCCTGCTTCCACACTGTAGGGATTCTATTCTAAGATACCAGTTTCCAACGAGTTGTCAACCTTACAGGCTACACCAGGATTTACTGCCCATCTCTAACCCCTTATGAGAAGGGGGTGGAGAGATAGGTCTTCAATTGCTGCAATCCATTTGGTGTGAGTAGACTGATAGTGCTGTGTAAATAGTTTCCAGGCTTTTGATCCAGCATACATAAAGGAACTCTGATAAAGGTTAGCATGTCGAGTGAATTGGAGGAAACATGTAGGTGGCTGTGTTAGCATACACTCCCTGTCCATCTCCTAGGTGGTAAAGGTTACAGGTTTGGAAGATACTATTGAAGTAACCTTGGTAAGTTGCTGCGGTGCCACCAGAAGATGGTATACATTACTGCCATAATGCATTGGTGATGGAGGGAGTGAATGTTGAAAATGGAGGTAGAAGCTGAGTTGTCCTGGTTGTCTAGTTTCTTGAATGTTATTGGATTTACATTGATCCAATAGACAGTATTCTGTCACATGCCTGGTTTCTGCCTTGTAGCTGGTGGAAAGAATTTGGGGATTCAGGAGTTGAGGTAGTTGTAAGAATTTCCAGTTTCTGATCCTCTTTTGCAGTCACAGTATTTATAACGTTGTCCCTTTTTTATTGGTCATTGGAACTCTTCAGGTCATGATATTGGGTAATTAAGTGACGGTAATGTGTTTGAATGTCATGGGGAGATGGAAAGACTCTCTCTTGTTGGAGATGATTGTTGTTCGGCACATATGCAGTGCAAATGTTACTTGCTACTTATCAATCCAAGCTTGGATGTTATTCGGATCTTGCTGCGTGCAGACAAGATCTGCTTCACCGTCTGTGAAGTTACAAATGAGAGTGAACACTGAATGAAATCAAAGTGTAATCACTAGCAAGTAATTGCCATTTGATTTCACTGTCAATGACAGCTCCCATCACTTTGCAGTTGATAGAGGATATATGGATGGGCTGTAATTAGCTGGAGTGGATTTCTCCAGATTTTTTTATAGACGTGTCATGTCTGGGCAAATTTCCATATTATCAAGTAGAGAGTGTTGAAGCTGTAATGGAACAAATCAGCTATAGGCATAGCTAATTTGGGAATGCAGTTTTTCAGTTGACAGCCAAATGTTATCAGGGTCTATAGCCTTTGTCATTTCCAGTTCATTCAGCTGTTTCTTGATATCATGTGGTGTAAATTTAATCAGCTGAAGACTTAAAATCCCGGACCCGAAACGTTAACTCTGTTTTTCCCTTCACAGATGCTGCCAGACCTGCTGAGTTTTTCCAGCAACGTTGTTGTTGTTCCTGATTTACAGTATCCACAGTTCTTTTGGTTTTTAAATGCTTCATTTATTAGTTGTGGATAATAAATAACTAAGATGTGGTAGGACTGCAGAACTTGCATCTGAAGCATTGGTTCCATGATTGCTTGGCTGTGCTGGTAAATGTAGGGATAAGGCAGGCTCTGAAATTGGATTGCGTTGGGATATGATTCTGCTGTTGATTGTCACCCCCTCTCATGGATACTCTGAGCTCGATCTGTTCTGAGCACATTCCGGTTTGCATAGTAGCAGGGCCACACGACATGTTTGATGGTGGGATTTTGTCTCCACAAGGATTGTGTGATGGTCATCCCTGTGATTACTGTCATGGAAGGAGGCACCTTCAATGTAGAGATTCAGTCATTCTCAACACTTGCTAATCACCCAATCTGGCAGCTACATACTTTCAGGACTCAATCAGTTCATTCAATAGTAGCGTTACTGAGCTCCTTTTGGTGATGAATATTGAAGTCTCTGACCTCAGGAACATTCTGTGCCCTTGTTACACTCAATATTTCTTTCAAATGGTCTACATTAAGGAGATCAAATTCATCAACTGAGGTAAAGTGGGAGTAGCACAGTGATCAACAGGAGATTTCTTTGCCCATGTTTGACCTGTTGTCATGAGACCTTGTTGTGATCTGGAGTCAACGGTAAGGCCATTCCCTCAACAGTATACCATTTGGCTGCTATGTGATATCATGGTATAGTACAGGCCAAGAGGTATCTGGGATCTTGGATGATAGATATAACTCTGATGCAATTAGGCTTCAGCTTGACTTCATGGGGACAGCTATCACAAAATTAACGCAAGTCTCCAGATGTCTTTGCAGGGTTGATTGGTTTGTATACAGGTTGATTGTTTCCAGCCTCTGGATTGATGCGGGATGGTCCATCTTTTTTATTCTTACTATTGCTTCAGTACAATTGAGTGGCTTGCTAGGTCATCTCAGAAGGCAGTTTAGAATGAACCACTTGCTGTGGTTCTGGAATCACAGAAAGGCCAATCTTTTTTAGATGACATTTGTGAACCTGAAGGTTTTTAAACATAATCTCTTCGTTCCATTGTCACCATTACTGATGCTAGCTTTATATTTATATTTATATTTAAATAACTAAATTCACATGGGATGGGATTCAAATAATGAGTTTTGAACTCATGATGTTGGATCATTGATTCAGGTCTCTTGTTTACCTGCCTAGTAACATAACCACAATGCTCCCATTCTTGGTATGTGCACTGACTAACTTTCCTCTGGATTCTGTAGGATGAGGCTGGCGCAACTACAATGTTGAAGAAACACCTAATCCTGCAACAGGTTGTACTTGATTACGGGAATATTATCCAGGAGCTGGCAGACAGGGCGCAGAAACTTCTTACTGAAGAGCACCCTGAGGGGTGAGTTGCAAGCTGTGGTCATCTCAGATCATCAGAAACTTCATTAAAGCCATTAACCTGTGAAATTAATTGGAGGTAGTTTTCAGGCAAAAAGCACTCATGTAAAGTTGGGTTTGTTTCCATTAATTTTGAAGTATGAGGGTTAAATAAATTTGAATTTGTTGATAGCGAAAAGCATGAAACCCACATGTAATGCATTCTCTGTTAGATTTAAGCCTTTGAGAAGGCACAATAACTCATTAAAGGCTCCAAAATGTGGTGGAGATGAAAACATAAATACTCAAATTAGTAGAAAAGACTAATGCTGAGAAGCAATGATTAGAATTTGGTTTATAAAGGAAGTCAAGCTTACATATTCCTTTTTCATCAGTATTACCAGAAATCTGGAGAACATAATGATGTTTAGATACTCACCTGACCAATTCCCATAGGAATACTGATTTAAATAGATAAATTTAGGGGACCTTTGCCATTTATACCTAATTACCATCAATCAGAAGGCAGTAGAGCCTACCTAGATATTTCAAAGTGCAAGTTAATGACTGACGTTGTTTCTCTTCAGGTATTTTTACATTGAGCAAAGTGTGACATCTAGGATATGACAGAAATGTTAAATCCAATGTTTGAAATTGAAGAAGGGTCTCGGCCCAAAACGTCAGCCTTCCTGCGCCCCTGATGCTGCTTGGCCTGCTGTGTTCATCCAGCTCTACACCTTGTTACCTTTGAAATTATATATAGCTTTACAAGAGTTTAATTTCTATAATGAGAATTTTGCAGTAAATCATAGATAGAACCAGTCAGGTCAATGAAATAACACCATGTGACTTTCATTGGTGAGAATGTGCCATAAGTATACAATATTATCTGATAATCCAACTGAGAATTCAGGAAAACGTTTAGGCAAAAAGTGGTAAGAACATAGGACATTGCTATTACAAAGAATATTCAGGTCAAATAGCACCAATTCAAGAATGAATGAGCTAGATTTAGCAGAATAGTTGGAAATGGTGATAGAGTTTGAAGGTCAGGGATGGAGCAAGAGTTGCAAGATGCATTAAGACTGGTGTAGACCAATGGACCTGAAACGGTTTGTTTCTATGCTGCAGACCCGATGGAACGCAGTAATGTCTTCACTTATTGCACGAGGGATTGTGGAACATAATGACGTGTAGATTCATAGCTGCAATGTCAAATGAGACCAACTCATTGGGGGTATAGATACTTACTCGGGAATTATTAAAGTATGGGCCTACGAACAAACTTGAGTTCTCATGGTTACTAAATATAGTGGGATTGGTTCAACATGCCAAATTGGTGACTCCTGTTCCTATGATTACACTTTTGTCAACAACCCTCTGTGATGAATTTAGGTATCTCATGTATGCAATTAAACACAGTCAGACCAATTCCAAGGAGGGAAGTGTTGAAAAACAATCATGATGAATCACTTTTCTAAGTGCACTGCAGTTCCCAACTCAAGGTCAAGGGCATTACTGTTCATCTGATCAACTAGAATATAGCAACTGCACACTAAACAACAGGGCAGCAAGTAAGTAGGTTCAATTGAATACATTGTGCTGTATACTGGAACCTCAAACTTCAGTCTGTCAGAGTTCTCCATGTTGAGTTATACATATTCTCACCAATGAAAGTCAAATAGTATTTCATAATTGGTTTTAGCTTTACTTTTCAGAATGTCTCCTTTATTGGGAATTCTCTGCTTATTGCTTGTTATCTCATTGCTTGATGATCACCATATTAATTCCTTCCACTTTTCTGTCGATCACCGGTTAGCACTATCATATTGCGATAGAAAATAACTTTCTTAAGTGTTCCATGGTTCCAAGTACCATCTTGATAATTGTCTCTGAACATTCATTAAGACACATGCCATCTCTGGATAATTGAGAATGTCCACAACAATCACAAGCAATGTTTTTGGACGAAATGAGAAAAAAAATGACCAACAAATAGAGGCACTCCGTGAATAATAAAGGATTGAAAGTTGAGTTGTGTTTCTAAAAGATGATGGACTGCCCAAATTAGTAAAAAAAATTCCAAAACCTCTTTAAACATTAACCTTTCTCATTTTATAAAACTAATATTGCCGAGTGTCACACTGACATTTTTGACCATGGTCTATTCCCATGACCTAGCTTTTAATGACATGTGGGAACTGCTGGAGACTTCCATCAATTTACTGCCACAGGCCACCCCTTCCCCCTCCAAGCAGTTCCCACTTTACATAATATAGTCCTTTGGTTTTCTGTTATTCAAAACGTGCTAACACTTCGTAATAGTTGACTGAATTTGTCATCGTTCTGTCTTCTTAATCGATGCCTTTTTTGTAATTTTTTGTTTTATTTTCAGAATTCCAAAAACCTTTTAATTAGGATGTACTTTGCCATTCTCAATGTAATGTCTCGCTTATCTCTCCCTAACACACAACCCAGAGAACAACACTTGTCCTTCTTATAAAGAATGATATTTAACCTTATTTTCTGTTTTCTATCTATCCATGCCAGAAACCTGCCTACGGCTACACCAGTTCTGTTTTGTGGAAAATCGATCTTCTTACAAAACTGCAACTCAACCCTTCCACCCTATATAATTCACTGACAGTATCCAGTTGTTGGTCATGTCCATTCATTTTGAGCATGTTCATCTGAGGCATTTCTTCCACTTTTGATCATTTGGGAGCATTCTCAGCTTTCAGAGGCATACATATCATGTGAGCTCCATATGCTACAGACCTTGCAGGCACTTCCATACTAATTAACCAGAAGTTGACAACCAGTTCTTAAGATGCAGCAGAGCAAATCAATTTCAACTCTCATTCCCGTTTGAAAAATCAAATCCCCCTTTGACTCAACTGCATACTCATCAAACTTACTCCCTCTGTAACCTTCTGCCCAGGAAGCAGTGTCTTTATATACCAATGTGTTACACTACTATTCAAGTTGCAGTCCATAAAATACTGATGTAATCAACTGACTGCCTGATTGATTTACAGTGAGCAGATCATTAGGCGCCAAGGGCAGGTGGACAAGCTGTATGCAGGACTCAAAGACCTAGCAAATGAGAGGAAGAAGAAGTTAGAGGATATATACCATCTCTTCCAATTGAACCGTGAGGTAATGGACCTGGAGCAGTGGATTGCAGAAAGGGACCTTGCAGCATCTTCGCAGGAACTAGGACAAGACTACGATCAAGTTACAGTAAGTATTTATTGTTGGATAACACATAGGCATTATTTAAAAGTGCAGTTGTGACAGAATCGTTCAGAAAACATCTTGCATTTCAAACTTATTTTATGTGTCTTGTTCCAGTGCAATTTTCACAGTGTTTAATTTTACCTTACCTTGTCTCTGATGAGTACGCAATTTGTGTAGATTTTACCAGTCATCTGGGAATGTGCTGGAAAGCAGCAGGGACCCTGCGGATCGTGAAGAAAACCAGGATGGGGCAGCAGAGAGGTTGACTTGCCTGTGGTCTTCCTCTTGTGGTAATTGACCAAATAAAGGCCTCTTCCCACTGTCCACTTGCATTATCCCAATAGGATATGGGTCCAGCATTGTCAAAGCCCTACACTAACCTGGTTGGAAGGGCATTGTCATTCCATAGCACCCGCTTCTTCTGCCTCCAGTCCTGATAGTGTCCACCACTTGCAGCAGGTATTGCTGACTCTCCAATTGACTGGCAATCACCTGGGCAGGAAGCTATCCTTTACAGATAATAAGAATGAGAAAAAGGGTGAGGGTTTAAAGGAAAATAGTGTGTGCAGAAATGATACAGTAAGCTATTTGCAATACAGTTGTAGAAAACTAAATTTGGTAAAATTAGTTACACCATTCTTTGCATAAACTTCAATTGAGTGACCTTTGCAATATAATATTTGTGGTGGCACGGTGGCTCAGTGGTTAGCACTGCTGCCTCACAGCGCCAGGGACCCGGGTTCGATTCCACCCTCAAGCGACTGTCTGCGTGGAGTTTGCACGTTCTCTCCGTGTCTGCGTGAGTTTCCTCTGGGTGCTCTGGTTTCCTCCCACAGTCCAAAGATGTGCAGGCTAGATGGATTGGCCATGCTAAATCACCCATTGTGTTCAGGGATGTGTAGATTAGATGGGTTATAGGTGGACGGGTCTGGGTGGGATTCTCTGAGGGTCGCTTGTTGGGCCGAAGGGCCTGTTTCCTCACTGTAGGGATCCTATTCTATGATTCCAATGTTCTTGGTCTCATTGTGCTAATATATTGTGCTATCATTATCATATTACTCACCTTATACTGCAGCTACCAGATGATCTAAGTTTAAACTTGGAGCTCTGTTTTTCACAACGTCTACAGCATATAATCTTCCAGATGGATATGTTGAAGAGAATCATGTTTTATTTAATAACTAATGGGAAAACAACAGTTCACTACTATTTGCTTTTCCCTTGCAGTTACTGAGAGAGAAGTTCCGTGAGTTTGCCCGGGAGACAGGAACGATTGGTCAGGAAAGAGTGGACAGTGTGAATGTGCTGATAGATGACCTCATTGACTCGGGTCATTC